TTTTTTTTTTTTTTTTTTTTTTTTTTTTTTTTTTGGTACCGGGAATCAAACTCGGGTCCTTGAGCTTGCAAGGCAGGCAGCAGAACCACTGATCTAAATACCCAGCCCACCATTGATTTTGATAAACCAAGAGAAATAGCACCCACCTATAGTTTCAGTACTTGGGAGGAATAGGCAGGAGGATTGCTGCAAGTTTGAGGCCAGCCTGGGCTACATAGTGAATTCAAGGCCAGCCTGAACTATATATAGTTAGTCTCAAAAATAAATAGATAAATAAATAAACAAATAAACAAACAAACAAATAAAATAAAACCAAAAGAAAAAGAAAAAAACAAAACAGCAGCAACATCAAAAAGAGTTTTACGAGATAAGGTCTTGCTGTGTAGTTCATGCCAGCCTGAACTTCACCTTTCCAGTGGGATTTTTCTTTCAGTTATAAACACCATAGTGTCCTGCTCATGTTTGTGTATGAAGAAGTTGCAGCCAACTCTCCATGTAATGAAATAAGCAAGTAGCTGGCTGTTGTCATAGCTCCTCAGCAGAAGGAGTAGCTAACAGGGATGTGGTAAGGAAAACAGTCTGTTGCAGTGATTCTCTTAATGTAAAGTGTCAACATAAGAATTCTTTAAATGTGAAATGTGATTTGTTTCTTCCCAGCGTTTCTTTGAGCTCTTTTGAGAACAAATCCGAAATGACTGAGCAATACTGACTTAAGCAACCACATACTCGTTACTCATCCAGGAAGCAGAGTGGTATGTGGAGAATGAAGCCACCTTGGTTCTCCTGGAGGGGCGGCCAGGCAGGTCCACAGAGCTGGGCCAGTGGTTTCTGGACCCTGGTCTCCCCTTTCACTATGTAGAAGACTTCTGCGCAGCTTCCCATGAGGTTCTGTCTTCCCAAATAGCTCAAAGTAAAGCAATTAGAAATAAAATTATAATCAGAGAAAGTTTACTCTCATGATTTTAATGTTGTAAAACATAAGAACTGATATTTAATACTGAGGCCATCCCCCCACACACACTGAAAAATAAGACTATGTTAGCTGTGGTGGCGCACACTTATAATTCCAGCACTCTGGAGGCTGAGGCATGAAGATGGAGAGTTTGAGGTCAGCCTGGGCTACACTGCGAGACATTGTCTTAAAAAGGAAGAAGGAAAAGTCAGGAAGAGACGGAGGGAGAGAAAGATGAAGAGGAGGAGGAGGAGAAAACTAAAAGCTGTTCAGGACTGGGTGTTGTAGTTCAGTGGCGGGGTGCTTGCCTAGCATGAGCAGGAACCTGGGTTTGACAGGGACCACACAAAAGTAGTTAAGATGGTGAATTATGATATATTTCTACCTTATGGAAATCTAAAAAATTAAATTAAATTAAATTAAATTAACATGTAAAAAGAAAACTGCTGGAACCTATTCAATAAAGGCTCTAAAAGTACAAGCTATAAAACCTTTTTTGTTTATTCATGTGCTACTTATAACTCTTAGGTTTTGTTTTGTTTTTGTTTTACAGTATTAGAGGTTGACCCCAGGGCTTTTCCACTGACATACAACTCCAGCCCTTTTTTATTTTTTATTTTGAGATACTTGTTAATTTGATCAGGCTGGGTTCAGATATACAGTCCTCCTGCTTCAGCCTCATAGTGTGCTGGGATTATAAACTTGTATCACTACGCCCAGCTATAATGCTCTTCAAAATAATATTCTACTTTTCTGCAAATCTGACTTCCAATCATACAAGTGCTGTAAAAAATATGGAGGAACTGAGGGAGCAAACATTATTTCCTTCATTTGTTGGTACCAGGGATCGAACTCAAAACCTTATGCTTGCAAGGAAGTCAGTTGCACCATTGAGCTAAACCCCCAGCCCAGGAGCAAACATTATTTAATGGTTTTAACATCTTTTACAAAGTCCTACTTCTCTGCAGGAGAAAACATTTAGGGATAAAAAATTCTCTTAGCTCTTACTTTGCATGCGATTTTGATAAGCTAAGTCAGTAGTTTCTTAAATAATAGCACATTAGTTGAAAATTAATAAAGTGTAATGTACTACTAAAGCTGGACTTTCCATAAGAGAAAATAAGAGCCAGCTATGTAACAGGGCAATTGTAAAGGAAAAATCAGCTGAGGGGAAAATTTTCCCTTCTAAATTCACATTTAGATCACCAAAATGCTCAGAGCATTCTCCATAAGCAGCAAGCATTTCTCCAGCAGACACAGGCTGGGTGTCATATAAAATTCGTTCAGGTCTGACACCTCTACCTGGGGCGAGCATCACATCCCACAGTATCAGCCCCCCATCACAGGTTCCAGTCACATGGAGTAAGCTGTCACCCATACTTTGACCTGGTTGTAGATTTATGCTCTCACCCACGTCCTCAGACTTAACGAATTTGCTAGGTTACTTCACAGAATGCCCAGAAACACTTATGTTTGCCATTTATCCTATCACCAAAGGGCATTATAAAGCACCCAGATGAACAGCAGGTGTGGCGCTTGGGTGTGCCGCACCACTAGTTGCACAGGTGTTCAATCCGGAAGTACCCCAAACCCTGCAGAATTTTTATGGATATCCTACCATGCTGGTATGATTATTAACTCAGTCTTCAGCTCCTTTGTTCCCACTAGGGATAGGGGTTGGGGAGGGGGCTGAAAGTCCCAAGCTTTTGATAATAGTTTCATCTTTCTGGTTACCAGCCCTCATGCAGGATCCTCCAGGAGTCTCTTCACAGGAACAAAAGCTGCCCCTATCGACAAGGAAATTAGGAGTTCTGTGTTGGGAATTGGGGTCAAAGAGAACCAAAACTAAAGATTCTCCTAGCACTCCTCTAGGATCCTGAAGGATCTAAGACAGGTACGCAGATACAGGTACCCCCTCAAGACTCAGACAAGAGACCAGGGTGTGAGGGGTTATTGTCTGATGGTAGTTATAGTGTGGGGTGATGGAATCATCCTGGAACCAGATGGTGGTAGTGGCTATACAACACTGTGAATTCATCAAGTACTTAATGCCACTGAACTATATAGTTAAAATGGTAAAATTTATAATATATATTTTATCATAATAAAAAATAGTTAAAAGAGCTCAAGTTCATCTTTGACACAGAGTTGCCAACTAGTAAAGGTGATATTGGTAACTCTGCTGGAAGCTCTTCAAGTCTGCAGAACCAAAATCTTCAAACAACAATGGAACAAGAGATTTCCCTAGCTGACCCAGAGGAATGGGTAATAGTTTAAATTTTGGTATTTGACATTTTAAAGTACACTCAAAGCTGGGCTCACAGCTGTAATTCCATCACTTGGGAGGCTGGGGCAGGAGGATAGCTGAAAGTTTGAGGCCAGACTGGGCTGCAAAGTGAGACTTCGTTTAAAAAAAAAAAGTATTGCACATTCAATACATTTAATTTATCAGTTAAGAGGTTCTTTATAGTATTGGGGGAGAGAACACTATCCTATTCTTGAAGAATTTATAATCTAGCCGAGGAGACAGAATATATGGTATAAAACAATCTTCAAATAAATGAAACCATTAGTGTAGCACATCTTCTTCCTAGTTTTTTAGGTTTTCATGGTCTGACCCTACTCTACATTTTTACTACTGCCTAGAGAAAACTGTTCTGTAGTTAGGCAGATTTACTAAGTCTCCACCATACTGATTACAAATAAGGGGATTTTTCTTTCCAAAAGTCAGAAATTGTGTCTAAGGACCAGAGGCTGCTTTCTAGGCACTAAGGTGTAAAAAGGTTGTCGACAATCGGGTGCCTTGCATTCAGAGGCAGCATGGATAGTCTCAGGGGATATTCTACTGGGGGCCTCAGGTGAACACCAAACTGTCCTGTCCCCACAACTGCAGGAGCCTCAGACAAAATATAATAAAGTTCACAGGGGTGAGGGTAGGCCCTGGATTTGAGTCATTGTACCACAAAGCAACAATAAACAGAATTAAGGTAAGGAAGTTAATTTGGCCTGTTTATAACTACATCATAATCATAAGGCAGTGCTTCTAAGCTCTGCAGTTAGATCTATGAAAATTCCAGTGCAGCGCTTTGATCTGCAAGTTACTTCAGCTCTCTGCACTTTAGGGTTCTTTCTGTTCTATTAAAAGGGGTTAATAATGCAGTTGTTTTGAGGCTCTGCACAAGTTTTGAGCAATACACATATGAAATATATATAGATAATATGCTAATTTATACACACAGTTTTGCTACTCCGGCAGGTTTTGTGCTTTGCTTGCCTTGTTTTACCTCTTTCTTACCCCTTCTCAGCTGCATACATTAGTGGATATAATTATTTAGCTGATTATTTAATTTAAAAATTTGGGGGTAACTATCTTACTGTAGAAGTATCATAATTGTAAGACAAAACTCACCCAGAATCACTACATCCAGAGACTTCCACTTTAAACAGTGGGCTGTATACTATTTTGGAGTTAAAAAAATGTATACCCACATATATAATAAACATTAGCTCACAAAGTTAGATATTAAACTGTTTGATCATGTGCTTTTTTTCTTCTTGAACATATCAGAGTGTAAGCTACATCCAACAATAAATCTAATGATTTTGCTCAGCATGGCAGCTCCAGTGCCTGGCTCAGTATATGGCTCATAGCAGATACTTAAGACAAGAAACGACAAAGAACAAAAAGGAATAAATGACTTTCCACAAAATCACTAATCACAACATTCTTCCACATGAGTGTGTTATGATTTCTACAACCAAGCTCTATCTTGGAAACTTGTTTCCAGTGTGTTTCTATTTTCAAATATATTTAGAAGGGTATTTGAAAACCTTTTAATGATGCTTTTGAAAGAGGCACAAACTATAATGTAGTGCACAATAAAGAATCCAATCACCCAGAATCAACTACTTTAAAGATTTTGACAATTTTGGCTCTGTTTTTAAATAAAAGCAAGCAAGTTGCGGACAAAGTTGAAGTCTTCATTTTTCTCTCCTGTCTGTTCTCCCTCCTCCATTCTATACAGGCAACAGCTGTCATGAATTTGGTGTGTGCTCTTGCAGTGCATGTCTATACTTATGTAAAATACGCGATCAGCATAGGCTCTGTGGATTATATTTTAAAATATGGTATCATAGTGTGTATATATAGTTCTTCAACTTGTTTTTTCATTCCGCATTGGTATTGAATTCTGTCTGCACTTATTCTTTGACAAGTATTAAGCTAGTCTACTGTTAGCTACTGTAAATCTTTTTTTTCAATTTAGATATAGTACATATCTGAATGCCAGCTTTTATTTTACTACTCCTCTAATCTTGGGTATTTGGGTTGTTTCCTGTATTTCATTTGTGTAAACAATGCTATAATGGTCAATGTAACTGTAAAACTTTTATTAGTTATTTTAGTCAGAAATTTTAAAGTCCATTTGTATTATTAGTAGTAGTATTTTTTGAGACAGGGTCTCGCTGTGTAGTTCAAACTGACCTGGAACTCACTATGTAGCTCAGGTTGGTCTCGAACTCACAGTGATCCTCCTGCCTGGGAGGATTAGTGCTGGGATTACAGGTGTATGCCACCATGCCTGGCTGTGTTAGCTTTTTGTCACTGAGACAGAGTACCTCAGAAAACATGAAAGGAGGAAGGATTTCTTTTGGCTCTCAGTTTTAGCCCATGGTTACCTTTGTCGTTTTAGGGCTTTAGAAGGCAGAATAGCATGGTTGGGAGCACATGGCTGCTGGGAAGTGAAAGGAAAAGGAGGGGCCAGGGTCCCAACATCCTCTGCAGGGTGTTGCCCAACGTCCTAACTTCCTCTCATCAGGCCACACCTCCAAAAATTCGACCACTCTCAGTACGGCCACAGGCTGGGAAACACGCCTTTAATATATGGACTGTTGGGGAACACTGAAATCCAAACCATAACACCATTAAATCCCTTTTACTTAATAATATTTTTTATTTTACCGAAGTTTTTTTTTAAAAAAACGTATGTTTATATACTTGAAGACAGGGCAAGTATCCTTTGATCTATACAGAGGAGGACAGGCAGCC